TAATAACCTAATCATTATTATCTTTATTATTAAATAATTATATTTTTATTACTAACTTTATTCACTTATTAATTTTAGAATTACTTTTTAGTAAGATGGAAAAGATAAAAATAATATTGTTTTTTAAAAAAAAAAATCATAAAATTTTTTAACCTTGTTTCTATAAAAAGGTTTTAAACCAGTTTTTAGACTTAAACCCACATACTTAATATTTTTTTCTCCATTTTCATAAATTCAATAAATTTAATTTTTTGTTAGATGTAAACCACAAACATCTTTTTTTTTTTTTTTGACATAAAATCACTATTTTTTTTTCCATTACCGTAAACTTAACATCATTAAATCAAAAAATATAAATAATATGATAAGAAAAATAAATTCCAAACAAATCTTTTTTTTTTTTGTTAGAATATAGATTTGTCTTATCTATAGTTTGTTGTAATTATGGTTGTTGATGTTAGATTATCACCTCAAAGCCGTGTAATTATTTTCAAATAAAAGTTTTGCGAAACTGTATTTTGTATTAAGGATTAAATGTCACATCTCTGAATACTCTCCGTCAAGACCAATTAATATTTTTATATCAATCTACCGACTTGCTACTTCTTAACGACTTTATAAATTTGATTTTTTATTATTTAATAAGTATATTAAGATAATAAAAACATAAAATAAAGTTTCTAACTAAAAGATTCAATTTAAGTGGTCAAAATAAATAAAACATATGACTTTATATATATATATATATATATATATATATATATATATATATATATATATATATATATATATATATATATATATGTTGCTAGTAAATATTATTACAGCATCTCCAACCTACTCTTATTCTCCATTTTCTCCAAATCTTCTCTACCCACCCTCGTTTATTCCCCAATTTTTGAGATACGAATAGTATTACATCAAATACGGTTTTATATTATTCATTTCTTCCAAAATGAGGATGAATTTTGTGTTGTCGGTTTTAGTCTCTCTATTTATATATTTATACATTTCTAGATTATTTTTATCTACTAATTATAATTTATATATAATATTTAATACTTATAATATTTTGTTATATATTAAATTAAGTTAATTCATATAAAGTTTGTTTTTTGTTCTTTATATCCATATAAAAATTTAAATACATAACGAAATTTTAAAAAACGATAACGTATTTTAGAAAAACTTATAATTAAAATTGTATATATCTAATATTTATATGAATGTATATATAATATTTATTTATAAGTTTATTGTAAATATAATCTTTTGTAGTTAGTATTAATGTAATGAAAAAAATATAGATTATATATTTATTAAAACTAAATTAGTAGAGGGGTGCGTTTGATAATTTATGTAAGTTGAAATGATAGAATATATTATGAATATAATTTTTAAGGGTAAAAATGAGGTAAAAAATGGAGTATGATTGTATATGAAACGTTATTTATCCCATTTTTTACTCTATTTTCAAGGAAAAATAGAGATGGGTTAGAGATGGTGTTAAAACATATGAGTTTGATATAATTTTAAATAGAAAAATAAGTTATATCTTAAACAAAATCTATTAAAATATTGTTTGACAAATCTTAAAAAAAAAAAAAAAAAACGAGAAGGATTAAAAGAAAGATAGCCTATGTTTGACATATATTCGATAATTACTAATTGGACTAAAAAAAAGTCAAAAGCTGTGTAGCTTAACAGCAAAAAAAGAAAAAAAAAATAGTGTGATTTTTTTACTAAAAAAGCAATGTATTGGATAGGCTACAAAGTGAGTGAATATGGTCTAATATTAGCTTAATATTAGATTGGTGTAATAGGTTTTTTATAAAAAAAAAAAAAAAAAAAAAAAAAAAAAAAAACCGTCAGTCATTTACGCATTTAATCGCAGTGTGAAACCTTGTAGTTTAGAAAGAAATAAGTAAAAAAGAATATTTAAAATCGATAATGACATATATTGGTTAAAAGAATTTGAGAGAAAGGTCCAATAAGGTCACTTTAATTGAGTCAAGACTCAAGACCCAATAGGTTGGCTTGGCTGCAGATAAGCCGAAGACATGATGACCACCCTATGGCGTAGTTTATTATTATTTTATTTATTCGACTGACACACCTTCTTCAATCTTCCCTCTCCATATGCATCCCTGCAGAGGCAGCTCAACCATTTATTTAATCTTTGCCACCCTCACATCCTCCTCCTCATCTAATTCAAATCAATGATGCGCAGCGTTACTAGCTCCACCTCTGCCAGAGGCATCGCCGCCATTGTCGGCGTTGGTCCCAATCTCGGCCGTTCCGTCGCTCGGAAGTTCGCTCACGAAGGATACACCGTCGCCATCCTCGCCAGAGACCTAGGTAATTATCTTCCCCTAATCAGCTACCTATCTCCTCTCATGTTGTTTCAGTAGTCATTGAGATCAATTTACAGCGAGATTATCGAGATTTGCCGACGAAATAGCGAGGGAGGAGAAAGCGCAGGTGTTTGCTATTCGAATCGATTGCTCCGATACACAGAGCGTGAGAGAAGCATTCGAAGGCGTTCTCTCATTAGGTTTTGTGGAGGTTCTGGTGTACAACGCTTACCAACCAATTCCTTGGCAATACGGTGGCCCTTCAAGTTTCTCCGACATTCGTATCGATTCTTTTCAAAAATCCCTAGCCGTTTCTTCCGTCGGAGCTTTCCACTGTGCTCAACAGGTTCATACTTTACTGTTCACTCTCCTTTGTAATATTTATATTGAATTTTCACACACAAACTGTGTGTTCTCCTTCTTCTCCATAGGTGTTGCCTGGTATGGTAGAAAGAGGAAGAGGAACCATTCTGTTCACCGGTTGTGCTGCTTCCTTATCCGGCATCGCCGGATTCTCTGAATTATGTGCGCATTTGTCTCTTTATAACTATAAAATCTTTGTTTTCCTTTACTTTTCAAACACGATTGTATCAACAGTTTTTACATTACGTACACATATATATCAAAATTTATGTACAGATTGCTGTTGGGATTATATATATATATATATATATATATATATATATATATAATATATATATATATATATATATATATATATATATATATATATATATATATATATATATATATATATAAACAACATTTAGTCCTGATTAATTAACTACGGATTCTTGTTTCACAATGTTATAAGGTTGTGGCAAGTTTGCTATGAGAGGATTATCTCAATGTCTGGCTAAAGAATTTAATCCACGTGGCGTACACATAGCGCATGTCATCATCGACGGACTGATTGGTGCATCTCGGTATTCTTATTTCCTTTTTATTTTATATTCTTTGAAAGATCATTAGAAGATATCCAACTGTCGAATAGGACTTCGGGTCTTTAAAATAAAGGGATAAAAGGAATTTTCCCCCCTTTTGATCGTAGATTCTTCTTTGTTGGAATCCTTTCTACTTTCTAGTGCTACATGTAAAGTCAACTCATTGTCACTCATCGTCAAATACGTGTTTTCCTTTTTCTCTTTTACTCTATGCGCAATCTAACCTAATCCAATGACCCAATCCAATTTTTAATAAAAAAACTAAATTATTTCGTTTTCACATATCCATCTCAGTCCAATCAAATTATTTACACTCATTATCAATTCAATCCAATCTATTTTACATTAAAATTTTATATTTATAAAACTATATCAATATTGGTCTTATTTTGTAAAGAAAAATAAATTAGATATTTTGACATATTTTATTTTATTTTATATCAAAGATAAAAATTACTTTTTAACATGAAAATTAATTGGTTTCTTAATACCATTTTGTACAAGTGCCATGAATTTGCAATACGATTTGGGACGAGCTAAGGGCGCCCACACGATCAGGTTCACAAATGATTGTTTCATTTTAATTTTTTAATACTCTTTTTCCAAAGAGCCGCTCGCGAAACCCCCCAATGGGGTAGTCTTAGGCTATGTTTGGCGCGTCACAGCTAGCTGATAAGTTAGTTTATTTTTCGAGCTTTTTTATATTGTCGTGTTTGGTAAGCCAAAAAGTAGCTTATAAGGTAGCTTTTTGAAAAACTATTTAGACTAGCATTTTATGTGTTTTTTTAAAAATTTCCAAATACACCCCTTAATTAATTATAGAAACACATACTTTTACAAGTCATTTTATGTAATTTTATATATTTCAGCTATTTTTTCAGCTACTTTTACCAAAAATTATTTTTTTCAGCTAGTAGGTCAAACATAACATTAGTAGTGAGTAGTGAGTAACCAGGCCATAGTCACAACTCGCGAGCTAGTGCTACACATATGTTTCTTTTTTCGCCTAAAACATTTCTTTATATGAATTTTCAAGAATCTTTTACTCTAGTAATTTCTTTATATATATATATATATATATATATATATATATATATATATATATATATATATATATATATATATATATATAATGTCTAATGAGATCATTAATTTTTTTAGAATTATTTTTAACAAATTTTTTTAAAATTTATTTTATATCGAGACAAATATCTAAAATATGTAAATTCATCATTTTTCAACTTATTTCCATATTGATATTCGAGAATAAAACTTTTCCGAAAAATGTACATCATATGCACATTTTTCGTAAAATAGCTCATTATATATATATATATATATATATATATATATATATATATATATATATATATATATATATATATATATATATATATATATAACAAGTAAATTGCATATATGCATAAACTCAAATGTGTATGATTTTTCAACCTTGGTTTTAGAGTTTATCTTATATCGAAAAACATAAGTAAATTCATTATTTATTAACTTCTTTCTATATAGATATTTGAAAAAAAAAAAAAAAAAGTTTACACGAAATGTGCATCATATATACATATACATGAAATGAAAACACACGAAATGTGCATAGCTGCATATATGCACATTAATGTACATATGAAAAACATCTTAATTAGTTAGTGTGTTAGGACACTTTTATGGAATGTGTTTTTTTGAAAAAAAAAATCAAAACAAATCGTTTTTCTACTTTTGTGCATGTAATGCACATGTTACAATTTTTTTTTTCCGAATATCAATAGGAAAGATGCTAAAAATAATGAATTATATATTTTTATTTATTTTTTCGATATAATATAAGCTATTAAATAAGCGTTAAAAAATGACGTTATTGGATAATTTTAGTTGCTACTAGCTACTATTGTCATAGTTACTTTTGTTAGTTTGTATAAGGTACATATTATAATGAGACCAAAAATTGTATATTCTTTATGCTCCACTTTACACAACTAAGACCAATTTACGTACATATTGGCTACGTGTTACTTCCTTTATCATTAATTCATCTTTGCATGTACTTTCACTCGTGAATCAACCATGATTGTTTACGTAGTTCCATAATAATTTCTTATAAAAAAGATAGAGAAATTAAATTGATTCTTATTTTTTATGCCTACAAATATTCCTATTCAATAAAATTACGATACATGTCATCTTTTCATATTTTTTAAACTAAATCATTAAAACTATATTATGAATATATCAAATACAATTAAATTGAATGGTGATTTGTTATAATTTTAGTGGGTAGGAATAATTGTAGGAATAAAAGGTAGAAAATAATTTAATTTCTCAAAAGGATAATACTCGTGGGTAAAAATGAAGGATACGTATGCTTATTCAACTTATACATACCCTTCTTTAAACATAGGTCCACATGGCGGATCATTTTACTATTGTCCCATCAGCTAGAATTAATCAAATGATTGGAGATTGATGCGCTTTTGTTTCCTACATTAATTATTGTGTTGTCCATGATAATTGATCAATCACATGGATTGAAAAAATAAAAATAAAAAAAAAATAAAAAAATTAGACAAGGGTAGATGTCGGTATTAAAATTAGTGTTTTTTTCTTTTTCATTTTTTTTAAAATTTAAATCAAATACATATTTTATTTTACTCGTAAATTACGTAATTTATCAATAACGATATTTGAACCCATAACCTATGGTCGAATGACTATTTTCAATAACAGCTAATATCATTATGCCACAAGACATTCGATTATAAAAGTTAGGTGTGTAATTACGCAAAGATAAAGATAATGATGGGAGTCTCGTTTTGCAGGGCATCAACTATGCCACAAAGATCATTAGTTGGAGAACAACAGGGTGTAGGTGGGGATGGATCCATGGACCCTGACTCGGTGGCTCAAACCTATTGGTATCTGCACATTCAACCCCGGGGTGCATGGACCCAAGAAATAGACATCCGTACACCGAACCCAAGACTTTTCTAAAAGATTACAACAACATAAATCAACAACTATACCTAAATCTCAAAAGGTATTTGCAACAACATAAACACAATTTATATATATTGTTTATTGTTCCTTTAATATTTGTGTTTGTGTGTTTATTTATATGTGAAGTCATAAGATGATGGTATTGATACATAGGAAGAAGTTATTCTAGATTCAATTATTGGTAAGTCCAAAACTTTCAATTAGTAGTGTAAACTATTTTGTACAACTACAATCAATGATTTGATTATTTTAACTCATGAGAATTACTAGGTTTGAGGTGATGTAGAAAGAAAGGATATATATGGTAGATGGAGGGAATCGTGTCTTAATAGAGCACGCACAACTTAAATGTACCACTTGCATTACCTCAGTGACATGTCTGTTGGTGGACCTTCGTTTAACTTTTTGTCTACTTTTGCCCCCGTGGGTCCCTCCTACGTATTTGATTGCATTACATACTTGTACTTTCTATTTCCATGCTTTTCATGGTTGTACCTTATGTGTTTAGTTTTTGCCAAACAAATGTGATATCTGTTAGGTTATGATGGGTTGGCCCAATCATAAACCACATACTTCAATTCCGACCTAGCCCCACACGCACTTTTTTGCTATTACTCATTTGTCCATACTTTTGATGTAACTCATACTGTTAATGCTCGAAGAGTATCCAATAGTTAAGTTTTTTTTTTTTTTTTTTCCTACTATTTTGAATTTGAAAATGGGTAAGGAGAGTGATAGTGTTATGAACCCTAATCATATAAGTGGTGAGAATCTTTCAGCAACATTCTATGTAAAGAATTTTCCAAAGGAGATGGATCTGAAAGGCTTATGGAATCTTTGTGAAAGCCAAGGCAAAGTGGTAGATGTCTACATGTATAGCTAGGAAACTATCAAAACAGCGATGAAGATTCGCCTTTGTTCGATTTCTAAATGCGGTGAATGAGAAAGAATTAAGTTCAATAAAGAGAATGGGTCAACTTTCACGTCACTTCAAATTTTGTTATTTTTAAAATCATTTTAAACACGGTTTTTAAAACAATATTTTTATTTAACAATGAAAATTCTCAAAATTCAAAATAAAATATTTTATAAAATAAATAATCATTCTTTCAACAAAGTCGGATGTCAACTCACATATATCAAACCATATTTCGCTTACCTGAAATAGCCCAATATAACACAACAACTAAAAGCTCTAAACTTCAAGCAAAATTAATTATCATCTACAATATAACACAATGGTTCCTAAGTGGGCTCGGGATTGGGAGCCAAAAGGCCTCAAATCTTGCTCTTCTAGCAAAATGGTGGTAGAGGTATAAAAAAGAAACATCATCTCTTTGGGTAAATGTCATAAATGCAATCCATATTTCACCTCGTCGTGTTTGGAAATTCCTTCCGGTAAGATCTGAAATTTCTGATGTTTAGAAAAAATTGCAAAAATTGATATTGATTTTCTTAGAATTGACATCTGAATTACGACATGGTGACGTCTAGGCTCAAAACCCTAGATTTCAGGCCTTGGGCCCTATTTAAAGGAAGTGATGGCTAGGGTTTCATCTACCCTTAACCTCCATCACCTCCAAGTGTGTTGACTAAAACCCTAATCCCATCTCCTCCATATTTAACCCTTTTTGTGGTGTTTTTGTAGCATTTGAAGAAATAAGAAGGTGCTCTAGTTCAACGATTCATCAAGAAAGCTCATCTTCATCCCTTGGTATGCTTTTGGACTTTTGTAAGTCCACAAGCTATTACCTTTTTTTATGCAATCTTCTAGATCAAGGTTTTTATTTACATTTCTTCATGTTTATGTTGGTTTGAGTGGATGGATCTAATAAAGTTTGTAATTTTATTGATCCTTGAGGTCCTAAGAAGGTTAGATGTTCCATATTTGAAGTGTTATGCATTTTGAGTTCATGCATGGGGTTTTGACCTCATTTCTCTCAATTTGACCTAGTTTGAATGAAAGGCATGCATTAGTCATGCATGTCTACAAAACAAGGATTTTTATGATGAATATAAGTGTGGGAAAGCTTTCTAGAAAGTTTTAGGAAAGGACTTAACGAATTTAAAGCTTAATCATTAAATTTGTCTTCTACTAGAAACCACGATGTGGCATGATGCTCGGAATGACGTGGTGGAGAGTTTTCACAACTGATTTGTCATGTTGCTACCACAACGTGGTCATTGGTTGGTCACGATGTGGTGACCGTTGACTTTTTGACCTAGTTAACTTTTGGTCAACTGAGTAGTTTAGATGGTAGACTAAGGTTTGACCTTAAATGTTTCATTAGGTGGTGTGTAGCACCATATTTTCTTCTATGAGAGCTTTGGTACTTTCGACTTCGATTATAAGGCGAGTCTCTCATTATACTATTTAGGATGCTAGATTATCTTTGTGACTCTTGCATGGAAGACCATGATCTGGACCCTGACAACTGTATGAAAGACTAGGATATGGCCCCAGACAATTATATGAAAGACTAGGATCTGACCCTTGACACTTGTATGTATGACCAAGATTTGGCCCTTGACATTGCAATGAAAGACCATGATTTGGCCTATGGCAGGAAGTGATTGTAAGAATATGATTTGGCCCATAACATTCACTTGGGGTTTAAATAGACCCGTGAGTTTATGTATGGTATGTGGTATTTTGGGTAACTCACTAAACTTTGTGTTTACGGTTTTAAGTTTGTTGTTTTAGGTACTTCCGGTTCCAAAGGGAAATTCCGACTTGATCACACTGCACCCCCTGGAGTTTTTCTGCACTATCTATTTTTTGACTTTACTATGATGTTTTGAGAATACATTATATCATGATTATCTTTTAAATGATTGAATGCATGGTTTTGGTTGTTCGCTAAATGAAAATTTTACTTAGTATTTTGGGGACATTATAGAACTACAACTAGAATAATAAATAATTTTTTGTGACCGAAGAAACTAGAAAATAGAAGGGGGAGATTTACATAGTCGATGGTGCCAGGTGGGAAAAGAGGCAACAACAAGAATAATGATGGGTTCAGACTTTATAAATGAAGGGACAACACGATAGAGATCTAAACAAGTGTTATCACAACGTTGATGGGGAGTACTTGTTATAAGATCCTTCACAGCGAAACCAAATCGACCAAACTCAATATGTAGCACCTGGTTCCCGGTGCATACTCCTTGCTATTTACCTTTTAAAAATAAATAAATGATAATAATGCATCTTGCCTTGGACTCGGCGAGTTGATGGGCCAACTCGCCAAGTAGAAGTGGGACAAGGCGCGGGAGTTGGACTTTGGACTCGGCGAGTAGGCCCTGATTGGGCAAAAACCCTAATACGTGTGTTTGCACCCTATTTAAACACTCTAACTTGGCCTTCTTTGTCCCTAACACTTCCAGAGAGAAGTAGAGCGAGACCCTAGCCCCCATATTGTTCTTGAGAGTGTTTTTGGCTTTGTGAAGGAGGTTTGGAGCTTAGAAGAAGAAAAAGGTGGTTGAAGAGTGCAAGGAAAGGAGTAGATCCGAACTCTACTCAGGGAGAAGCTTCCATTTAGGAAGAAAAGTCCCTACCTTGATCTTTAGGTCATTAGTTACCATTTTTGTCCCAAATTGGTGGTTTTCAAGCCCTAAAACACCAAACTCCATGTGTGGTGCTTAATGATCCGAAAGGACTGCAGATCTAGACTTATTGGATGAATTAGTAGCATAAAGTTATGCAGTTGAAGTGATTGAGGTCCCCATTGAGTGTATGACCTCATTAAGAGTTTGGTTTTGGCCTTATGAGCTTATAGGGCCATGCATTCACGTAAAGTTTGCAACTTTACGTGATAAGCATGCTCAAGGAACATGGATCTATGGTTTTGAAGCGTTGTATGTCTCAGATTTGGCCTATATGGGAAATGGGTCATAGGGACTTGGCGAGTCCCAAGGAGGAACTCAGCGAGTTCCATGAAGATGTCCTTAGACTCGGCGAGTTGGATGAACAACTCGGCGAGTCCTACGAAGATTGCCTGGAACTCGGCGAGTTGGGTCGCGAGTCGGTTCAATCGTCTCAAGTAATGAGTTAAGGGTGATTCAGTGAGTGGGAAGAAGGTATGGTCGAGTAGGATCGGGTTAATAGGAAAAGGACTCGGCGAGTCTATGCCATGACTCGGTGAGTCCAGTCAAATTGTCACACACCCAAACCAAGGATGGAGGAAACGTCCGGGGGTGGAGGACTTCATGTAGAGTATCACAACAACGAGTATAATAGTGCTCAAAGTAAATACAACTATCACAAATATAATTGAAAAAGTTACATCAAAGTACATGTTTACATGATTCACCTCAATTACATTATGATACAAAATGAACTGTTTGACGATTTATCGTCCCATCCTCAAAACGTTGTTGATTTCCTGTTTTCACTGAATTCCTGAGAATACAAGTAGTTTTGAAAAAAAGTGTCAACACAAAGGTTGGTGAGTTCATAAGAGATTTCGTTAGAAAACTAAACCGTTTTCCTTGTAAAAGCGTTAGAATATGTATCCAGAAAATCTGATATTTTCTTTAAAATCTGTGTAATGTAGTGTTTAAAATCTGTTAGAATATGTATCCAGAAAATCTGATATTTTCTTTAAAAAGTGTCAACCGAAGACCAAAATGTATAAGTAACCTCTCTTACTAATAGAAAATGTTATGTGTTTAAATGGACATGGACGCGTTTGAATTAAACGAAATTTCCGTATACTCTTATGTTTGTTTATATTTTATGTATATGTAGTCCTAAATCCGAGGACCGATAATTAACAAGTATTGGCCATACTTAAAGGTATAAATGTGGTTTCAAGTGATGTGTAGTCATAATTACCAAAACCGAAAGTGTACAGTAATATATGTACTCATTGAGATAAAAAGTGATTTTAAATCGACATAAAACCCATTTAAGTTTTATAACTAAAATCCCGTAAACTTTATGGATTGTTATATCCCTATGTGAGTTGCTATAATCATACTATGACTAAATGAACCTGCCGCGACGTTTCTCAGGCGTCGCGAAACTGAAATGACATTTGTCACCCGTAGACCTGCAGGTCCCACTGTAGCTAGCAACAAGGTGTGGTGTGTCAAACATAATATAGATCTATATACAAGTATCACTTTCTCCCTCCAGGAGATTCTAATTATAACTACCAGGAATTATATCCCGCACTCGGATGTACGGGAAGAGAATGTCTCACAATTTAGGTTAACAAGTTTACGTGAAATGTGTGTGAATGTAAATCTTTTCTGTATGAACGTACCCTTTTTGTACGAGTGTGTTGTGTAATGTATCATAAACTATACCTATTATAGTTTATCTAAAACGTTTGTAATATGTAAGAACTCTTTTATGGAAATGCATTAATGTTACGAATCCATTAAACTATACTTTTTATAGTGTATTATACGTGTTCTAAAATGAATGAATAATATTTATTATGAATCACTTAGTTTCAGTTCATGATGATAAACTAACAAAGAAACACATTCAATAATTAGAACTTATGATTATACACTTTGCTCAACATAATACAAAGTGTTATGATATTTATATGTTGTTAGCTAACTTTAACCATTCTGCACTGTTTTGGAAAAATCATAGAAAAATCATAAGAAGTCGAAAATTAGATCTGTAAATTCTGAGAGTTACCAAAATGTGTCTAGTTTACTCATAATTTTTATTACGATTTTTAATGACCTTCAACTTGGGTGAAAAAGTCCATAATCACAGACTGGTCCGGATTGTTGTTTGAAATGATGGGCAGTTTTGTAAAAATCACCATAAATTGTAGAAAAATCGTATGGAGATGTGCAAGTAGTCATTTTAAAGCTAAGAACTTGAAATATTTGCAACTTATACAGTTTTGAAAACAAAAATGTTTAAGTTGCCCAAAACAGTCCGTGAATGGAGATGAACTTTTCTGATGAAGGCTGTTAGAAAAGTTTAGTTATGTTCTTGGTGTTTTAACTTGTATTCCCCCCCTAAAAACTTGAGAAAACATGAAAATGTAGGGGTATGAACACACCTTGAGTGATTTCAGTAGATAAGTGTTGAAGAAGAGAAGTGTTCAACCCAAGAACACTTAAAGAATCACTTGAAGATTCGAAGATCTAACATCATAGTTATGGAGTTTGTGTAAGCAATCAATGATTTGAGTAGAGTGAAGTGCAATAATCATAAGGAGGATGAATTTTGCTTACTAAGAGTGGAAGAACACTTGAAAATCAGCCTTGAATCTCGAATTTGGTAGAGAAAAAGTTTGAGAGAAAAGTGGTGTTTGATACTTGGTGAAATGAGAGCAAATGAGAGAAATGAGGAGAGAGGATGTTTTGTTCCAGCTCTAAAAACGTGAGAATGGGTGGAAATTGAGTGTAAGGGACTTTGAAGTGACCTAGGTAAGGTGGGGAGGTGTGGCTCGTCATAGAGTGGGTGTGGGCTGGTTGCATGTGACATAAGATCAAGCAAGGTCAACACTCCACCTTAAATAAATCACCCATTAGATTTTTATTATTTAGATAATGATTTTCATGAAAATATGTTTAAATTATGAATATTTAGGGTTTATTATGTTAAAATATAATTTCTGGAGAAAATCCCGCTTTAAAATCACGAAAAACGGGCTTAAAATGTTAAAACTATAAAAAAAATGGGCTAAAAGTGGCAAAATTCCAAAATCTGGTCGAGTTTCGGTCTTCTGATGCTAGAACTGAGAGGAGAGAGGGCAGAAACCGAGAGGGGAGAAGAAACCGAGAGACGAGAAGAGAGAGAGCAGAGACCGAGAGGTGAGAAGGAAGGGCCGAGACGCGAACAGAGACAGAGAGGCGGGAGGAGACCGAGAGGGGCGAGGAGATAGAGAGGAGAGCAGGAGACAGAGAGGCGGAGCAGAGAGCCGAGAGGAGGGAAGGAAGCCGAGAGGCTGGCATGGGAACCGAGAAGGGACAGAGACCGAGAACAGAGGCTCTGTCCTCGCGAGTTTCGGCCCGAGAGGCCTCTCTTCTTGGTTTCGGTTCCTAAGAAGGGTTTCGGTTCCTAAAGCTTATTTTACTCGTTTTCACTCCGTTTTGAGCCATTTTTGACCCGGTTAAGGGTCAGAATGACCCGAATGATTGTAAAAAGTTACGGGAACTTTTGAGAGAGATTTGGAAGAGATTTCACATACTTGAAGAGATTTGGGAGAGATTTGACATTCTTGGAGAGATTTCTCATACAAAGAGATATTTGCGAGAGATTTCACATACTTGGAGAGATTTGGGAGAGATTTGACATTCTTGGAGAGATTTCTCGTACAGAGAGAGATTTCACATACTTGGAGAGATTTGATATTCTTGGAGAGATTTCTCATACAAAGAGATATTTGAGAGAGATTTCACATACTTGGAGAGATTTGGGAGAGATTTGACATTCTTGGAGAGATTTCTCATACAAAGAGATATTTGAGAGAGATTTCACATACTTGGAGAGATTTGGGAGAGATTTGACATTCTTGGAGAGATTTCTCATACAAAGAGATATTTGAGAGAGATTTCACATACTTAGAGAGATTTTGGAGAGATTTGACATTCTTGGAGAGATTTCTCATTCTTGGAGAGATTTGGGAGAGATTTGACATGCTCGGAGAGATTTGGGAGAGATTCTCGATTAAAGTGGGATAGAGTGAAAACGATTGAGAGAGGTTTCATGTGTGGCATTTGTGAGTGTCCGGCTTCGCAATGCAAGGTTCGTAAACCCTGTTAAGCCTTGTTTAAGGATCTTACACACTCCCGATGAGTATGCAACATTGTTTTATTGGTTTGACTCGCCACGTACCACAATTTTAGGTTAAGGAGATCTAGATGTTGGCACTTTTTGATTTATGATCTCTCATTAGAATAGAGAGTTGTGTAGAAATTTTATAATGTAAATTCTAGTACCCACGGGCAAATTGAGTCGAACGGTTTGACTTGTTGACTTCGGTTGACTTTGACTTGACCGGAAATTGACGGTTGTCACACAAATGGACATTGACTTTGACCAAGGAGTTGACCTTGGACCAAGGGAGGGTCAGTCTTTTGACCTAAGGGTATTTATGGGTGTCTAACCTATGTTTATGGTTTATAGCCGGAGGATTTGCGATCCAGCAGTCAGACGCTCAGCAAGCAGACTTCAGCAGCTATTTTTGAGGTGAGTTACCTTCCAGTAGTGGTGGGTCTAAGGCTACAATGCCGGCCCACCGGTAGGAGACGTATGATAGATGATTGTCTTTGTGATATCATCTAGGTTTGCTACTACCTGTTATGTTATATGCTAGCATGATATGTTGTATGTGATAGTAGTAGAGTTCGGTTGTTAGGACCGAAGGGTAGTCAGACACCCCAGGTACGTCTGACAGTATGTGATGATATGTTTGCATGCTAGCTTGTTATGTTATATGCGATAGAGGTAGTAGGAGGGGACCAGTCCCCGAGTTCGGTTGTTAGGACCGAAGGGTAGTTCAGGCACCCTAGATATGTCTGATATTATGTTATATTATGATATATGTGATAGTAACAGTAGGGGTGAAATAGTCCTCGAGGATCGGTCGTTAGGACCGATAGGTAGTCAGCACTCCAGAATGGACTGACATGGGTAGTCAGCACCCCAGAACGACTTGACACGGGTGGGTCGGCACCCGAGAATGGCCGTACCGGGTAAGTCGGGCACCCCAGAATTGCCCAGCAATATGTATGATATGTGATTGTATGGTATGTGGTATGATGGGGGAACTCACTAAGCTTCGTGCTTATAGTTTTCAGTTTTGGTTTCAGGTACCTCTTCTTCGAAGGGGAAGGAGTTGGCGCGGTAGCAGCACCTCACACACACGTTTTGTATTCCGCACTATGAGATCTTCCTGGTGATTTGTACTCTGACTTTGTTATGTTTTTATAAATTGGTTTCCAGACACGCACATCTTTTATGAAATGATATGATCGGTGAATGTTTTATTTCTAATGTTTTGCTAAGTATGTGTTTTAAAAATGAAATTTTTGGCTCGTATTTTTGGGATGTTACATAATAGAAACACATTTCTCAGTGGAAAAGCGACGAACATAAATTAGATTTTTAACTATTTTATCATAAACTAAGACATTGTTTTAAAAGAAGACGGTTGATTGAAAAAAGGAAAAGATGTTTGGCTAATATAGCTAATCGGAAGTAAAACACTTTTGTCAACCATAATAAATTCAGATTTACATGGAGTTAAAGAACAAAATGCACATTGATTAAATGTCATTTGAGTGATTGCTCCATAATCCATGTATATTGATTATACTATGGTAGTTGGACAAACATAGACTCAAAAACTAATGTAAGATCCATATACTTTTGTATTCCGAGCTGTGTAATAAGACCACCAAAAGAAGCATTTGCGAATTATTGTGGTGAGTGAGATTGTAGATCAAGATAACTATGTAATATTGTTGATACGGTGGTGTGAAAGGTTGATGTGGGCACAAAGTTGCAACGATTGCTATTTTGGAGTTGGAACGTAGCCGCCAGGAAGATGCTAAAAACAACAGAGAGTAGCATGGATTTGTTGATGTGAAACGCCGACAACAAGATGCTATAAATAGTGACCAAACGAAGTATTATTAAAAGTTTTATATATTCTCTTAAAATAATACAATGCAAAAACAAATAAAAATCAGAAAACATTTTACATTTCTTATCTTTATGGTGTTATAAAAATATATAAAACTAACATATTAAAAATGATTTGATAAGAGTATATTTACAAGGTTAGTTTTCATAATTGGTTAAAAAAACAAAAATACAAAATTAATACTTTATAATTTATGATTTTTTTCAAATAAATTCCGTAAAAAAATATAAATCTAGTTAGGTTTTGTGGAATAGGGACAAAATCAATTTATGTGAAATAGGGACTGAAACTATTAAGAAGCTTTAAATTAAGGACCAAATCTAAAAAATCAATCCTTTTGGGATCAAATCCGAAAAAATTTCTAAACTAAGGGACCAAAAATACAATTTAATCTTTATCTGTTAATTAAATATTCTTCCAATTAAGCTTGCACGTCATCCAAATATGCCAATTCAACCTAGTGGTTACCTAAAAACTTAGAAGTGAACTTGTGTTAAATTGTGATAAAACGAAAGAAAAAAAAAAAAAAAAAAAAAAAATTTAAGAACGGCTTTATCAAGAAAAAGTCGTAAGTATAGGGGCTTTTATAGCATTTGCCTTTTTATTAAAAGATAAAATATGAGAAACCGTGAACCGTTGCTATATATTTTGAAAAGTGCGGGAGAGGAGCTGTCAGCCACGTGGACATCGTTTGTACAGATCAGACCACCGGATGGTTGATATTGAACGACGTTTTACTTCAATCGGAGACCCTAATTAATCAAAATCAAAGTTTTTTACATTTCTCCATTTGCAGATCTCCCTCCTCTGGCTCTCCTCCCTTATTCAATCTCCAACACCAAAACACCAAATTTTTTCACTTCAATTCCATCATATTCAAAATCTCCGACGTCCAAATGCCCCAAAAAATCTAGGATTCGTCGAATTTTGACCTGTGTTTCCTGTTTGGGGGGAAGGTTCGCGTAACAGGGAATTCGCAGAAACCCCCCAAATGGGTGCTTGCAGCTCGAAACATGAAGACACCCAACTTCCTGTAATTAAACGAAATAATTGCACAGATATGGAACAATCGACGAAGAAGAATGACCCAAATGTGGCGAGAAAGAGATGGTCATTTCTGGCGTTATACACACGAGGTCCAGCTTACTATTTTTTTTCAAGGAAGTCGTCGTCTCCGGCGACAAATGGAAAGACAAATCCGACGGTGAGGCGATTCTTCAGGAGGGCGTTTCAGCCGCTGACTCGTGCCCAGCACATGAAGGCGGTTCTGGCACGGCGGCATGGGGAGGGGAAGGAAGGGAATGTGAGATTGAATAAGAGTTTTGGATTTTCGAAGCATATTAGACATAAGTGTGAGATAGGGGAGGAGGTTGGCAAAGGGCATTTTGGGCATACTCATAGAGCCAAGTTCAAGAAAGGGAAACATAAAGGTCAACAGGTTGCAGTCAAGATTATTCCAAAGTCAAAGGTTTGTTTGTTTTTTTTTTTCTTTATATATATTTATATTGTGTTTTGGTTAAAATATAATAGAAAAATATATATATTTTTAAATATTTTGGTTTTATTTGTTTAGTTTTCATGAAGTTCTATAAAACCGTTGGATAAAGATATTAGAAGTAGATAGACATATATACTTAAGGATGAAGAAACTGCTTTAATATAACACATCTGGCAAGAACAAATTCATATGATAAATGAATACATTTATTAGGATCGGTCTCGATCGTGCAATACTAATCGGTCATACTTTCAATTAAATAACCTTTTAAACTTGGACTGAAATCAACTCTAAACTTAAACCAATTTCACTTCTGAATTATTTATATAAAAAATGAATAACAAGATTAACTTGATCCAATATGTATCACATCTATAGTTGTTGCTAGAATTTTGCTATACATTTATAATTTTTAATAATAGACACCTAAAACTGAAATACAGTCCTTTTAAATGAATGTAAACATAACCGATTTATTAGTTTTAGATTGAGTACTTGGATGTTTTGATATATATTATTATACAACTTCGTGAATATCTGTGCAATTCGCAGAATAAAACTATATAGTTAATTTCTTTACATATACATGTTCAAAATAATAGGACATTTAACTATAAAATAAAACCTATTACAGTAAATTGATATACAAATTTATAACTATTTTAAACCAAATTACAATATATATATATATATATATATATATATATATATATATATATATATATATATATATATATGATGGGTTTTAGTCATAAGACATCCTATGTGGTCATACAAACCCTAATGCTTGGATCTAGGTTTCTCTATTGTACATGTTTTGAATCCAAGACTATAAACTCTAATTCTAGCATTCTAGTAATCATATTAATATGTAATTAGGTTTAAGATCATACCTTGATTGATATGTAGCAATAACAATCCCAAATCTCCTTGTAATGACTTTGGAATGCTTAGAGTCACAAGTGTCACTCCTCTAATGGCTTACAAGCACCAAGAGCAAATGGAGAAGGTATAAAGAGAGAGGAGAGAGGTTAGAATTTGTCCTTAGATGCTCTAGGGATCAAGTCCACGAATTCTAAGGCCTTAGGGGTTTTTATATAGGGTTAGGATTAGGGTTTTAGTCCTTATCCTTATCTAGTTGCTTGTCCACCAAGCAACCATAAGATAAGTCTTAGAAACCCTTATCCTAGTCGAATTCTAAGGCATTATCACCTTAAATTCGTTCACCATATATTTAAGATAATCCTTACCTTATTTTGTAACTATCACATAATTACAATTCAGCCCCTCTAGTTTAATTAATTACACTTGATCACAAAATTAATTCTTAATTAATTATTGACCAATAATAACTAAACAAATATGATTTCTCCTTTAATATATTATTCTTATAACATATTAATAAATCATATTATCCTCTCTCTATATATATATTTCTCCAATCAAGTTGCTTCGGTGAAGGCAACCCAAAAGGACCACGCACCATCGGGTCAAGTACATACCAAAATAGTTATGGACTTAGACACTAATCCAACAGTCTCCCACTTGGATAAGTTTAATAACTATTATGCGCATGACTTTAGATCCTGATCTGCAATCATAGCTTTCCAAAGCCGTTGTCAACTCTGATCATATCAGATATGCGTGTCCTTAGATAAGGGATCATATATTCCTCCATTCTAGATATCATATGAGATATGATTTCTAATCATTCTCTTTGTACTACTTCTCGATTTTTGATTTATGACGACAGACTAATTGAACAAATCAAATTAGCCCTAGCCCGGCCGAGCATTTACGTATGTCATCACTAAACCATCGAGGGGCCCAAAGATATCGCTTTTATCCTACTTTGGATAAAAGGAACGGATAAACTTTGATACAATGCTCGCTTGCACTCACTCACCGAATTACACACAACAATATGTTTTATAACACCAAGTTACTAGTGCGTTTACATATTATCAATGTGCAACCGATTCGCAAGATACAACTCACACATCTCGGTTTCAAGAATATAAGATGTTATCGTCTCACCAATCACTCGTGATACAATTCATGGAGTGATCCAAGTGAGCGTGGGTTTAATCCAATGCTCAAATCATATTCGTAAGCACTCATGAACGTTGTAGCAAACATTTGCTTATGTCAAATACTCTTCTAGACAATCCACACACCAATTCACGACAGTCTTCATTCATATCTACTTCCAACATATGAACGACTGTGGCCCGTTCGAATAATTCGATTATTCTTAATAAACTCAATTATTCTGGAATTCAAAACATGCAAGTGAAACACAAGAATAATACTAATCCCACATGGCCTCAAACCTTTGAGTATAAATGAAACTCCTTTTATTTATCACCATATCGATTACTCATTATTTGTCATTTCGGGTAATCAACTTCTTACTTGAATTATTACACTTGTCCCATGCTCCTAGCATGCACACAATGTTTACCTATGGTTCTTACTTTGTGAAATAGATCACATTGGACACACATTTCCAATCATTCTCATTTCACAACTCCAAATCCTTTTTCATAAGTGAAAGAATATCAAATTCTTGCTACTTATAGAATATGCTAGATTCTAACATCCTATGCAATGATTCTTTCGTAATGTCACTGCACCAAAGTCACAAAGACTATTGCCAATGATATTACAAAATCTTCTATCGGAGATTGTTACAAGACAATTCCTTAGATATGATGTCTCTCTCTCAAAGTACATTCCTTCGAACATCCTTTTGCATAAAAGTTTTTAATCTAGACATAGATTTTCAATATTCAATTCCCAATATGGACACGCTTCCATATTTTCCATATGACAACTCATTTCTTAATAGAATATTTTCTATTCATCATAATGTCAATATGGTCCATTAATACCATGCTTCCAACAATTCACAAGCAACCAATCCTCGTTGAACTTTGGATTGTTCTTTGATAGTTGCTTAATTATTTTAGTCAAAACCGATTCTAGTCCCTTTTCCCTCTAAATGCACTAGACATTTGGAAAATTTTAGAATGGTCAAACATTAAAGCATTTGCAATCGATCCTATACCCGAAGCGTATGAGACACGACGCATAATGTATTATTTGCTATGTTCTCAAAATTCGAATTATGAAGAGGAATGCCGTAATCATAATCGAAATTTTAAGAACACACTATGTACCTTTGACTAAATTTATTAACATTTCTCAACCTAAGCCTTTAGATTTGAAATGAAGCATAATATTCTCTCTCTTAATTATAGCAAAACAACTTTACAACCCTTACGACTCTGCAATGTATAACTCTTGTTTTTCTATAATTAATATTGCCAACTTGCAATATTTTCCATAATAATCATACAATCATAACTTTTATGCTCCCACTATCATGATGATTACTATAAAACATAACACTTATGCTCCCACTAGCTTCGACATGTATTCAAAACATCTTAACTTCCAGAAAAACAATACCTATTGAATTTCTTAAGTTCATGTTTCTAATACTTATGCTTTGATAATCTTTTATCAAGGCTTCTTGAACTTATACACCTTTGCCTTAGATAGTTCATATGTGTCTAAACATTTAAGACTAATTGCCAAACCTCACAATTCAAATCATGGAAAGGGATACCGTAACCATAATTGAATTTGAGAATGAAATTTTACAATCACTATCTTCTTAAAATCTTTCTTAGTGAAAGCATTTCCTCACAATCATTTTCATGAAGTAGGAAATCTTATGACACTTAGATTTAAAGCGGTGTATTTGTTCCTATCCATGAAATTTGTTAAAACCAAAGTTTACGACAAATTCAAACTCATATGGACCGAACTTTCTTAAACTTGATTTCTTGCCTTATGGTAGCACAGCTACCCACCATGTCTTCCAAGTAGTTAAGCAGCTCACCCTTTCTTATCAATGTACCTTTCATTGATTAAGGTGCTTTGCCTTTTATGCGTTCTAAATGAGAACTCATAGGACTCACATGCATAATTAACTCAATTGGAACATCACAGAAACAAATTAATGTCAACACGATAGGTTGTGAACCTCAACTCGTGTGCTAGTGATGATCGTTAAGGTTTATTTGATTTGTTCTTGAAACTTTTCAAGTCCATTAAAACTCCCACTGGCTCCTTGATATATTGGATTCTTTTGTCAATAACCATTTCTTGACAAACAAATATCCAAGAGTTAGTGTAGTTTTTATCAAAACACTTCATAAATTGGCTCTAGTTGGTCTTTGTCTTATTCAAGACATCACAACTTTCCACATTTGATGAATGTTATAATACTTTTCAATCATTGTCACAATCTTAACTTTAAGACTTGTTATTGGGACGAAGTATGATTGACTTCTTGATTTAACCATTTCTTCAATCCTTGATTCCTCTTCTCAAACATACAATTGTACTAAGACTCACTTAGAGGATCAATTGAGATATGGTTCTTAATCATTAAGACCTATCATAAAGTATAAAAGCTACTCTCCCTTCTTCTTAGAATGGAGAAACTTTTATCTTTTTGCCTACTTGATTCTTCTTATTCGTGTTGCTATTGATTTAAACCTTTTCAATCAATTCAAAATAACACTTAATCCTATAAGTATAATCATATTTACTAAACTTTTAGTAAATCATTACGAATATCTTGTTACTATTATGGTGGACTTTTACCAACACACAACTTTGTGTACTCTATCTCCTAGTCCTTCACTTGACACTTTGTCAACGAATTAGTCTAATTTCCAAATATGAAATTTCTCATTCATCATGCAACCAAGTTGCGTGATTCCAAATTTCTGTCCAATTGAAACATTGGGCGATGAGAAACTCTCCCTATTTGGTAAATTCTTGACATTTCCATAAATAACATAACTAAGAATCATATCCATTCGTTGTAGAAATATGCAAACATCAATTTTCATAACGATTTCATTGCAAGGAAATAAACAAATAAATAAATA